ATTATCCCAGATACAATTCCCAGAATCAAAATTGCTTCCACATTCATACATTTGTCTAAAATTTGATACAGTTCACTGGGCTTTTTTTTAATCTTTTTTTGTTTTTCCACATTCAATCCCAGAACCAAATGAAAAGGGTTATGAAAAGTTTGAAGTATTTCAATAATTGGAAAATAGTCTCCCTAATGGTGAGTGGTTTGAATTTTCCTGGAGCGTTTTTGTACTTCTATTTTTGTAAGAACTAGGTTCTGGAAACTAGTCAAGTAGTACATGAATATAGGAATCCAATACATATTGAAACCATTTTAAAGCCTGTGTTCTATAAATGTAGGGCTTAAAAGAATGTGTAAAATGGGAGTGGTTGTAAGAAAGTTATAAGAGATTTAAATTTTAAAAAAAAGAACCCAAAAAACTGAACCCGCAGTATGACTGGCAGAGAGAAAATAGTGCATTAGTAAACATTGCAAAATAATAGGACAATCCTAAGAAAAAGACATTGCATTTACAAAATAATTTTAAAAGCTCTCAGTAGTGTATTACAAATCTTAAATAAGTAACTCTTGCAATATCCCAGAAGAGTTATCAGATGCATTAGCATGGCTCCTGCAGTGGCTGTACTTAAGGAAGAACCGCTTGGAGAAATTTGGCCCAGCGAGTGCCACGTGGGTCACATGAGGGGTGACCTCTGCCTGTGTCTGTGTCAGGGTCTGCAGTGGAAATGCAGAGATGTCCATGGCTCCCAGAGCTATGAGGCAGAGCAGTCAGCTAATTCATTTATCTGCTCCTTCAGCAAGATGGTTCCAAGACAACAACTGAAACAAAGCTGCTTCTGCATCTCTTCAGCCCAGCCCAGCACAATTGGAGCAGATTTTAAAAGCAAAACCCAGCTTGCTGTTGCTTTGGATCTCATTGATTCATGCTGTGGTGTTCAGCCTGTGGGCAAGCTGGGAGCACAGCCTGTGTGCCCCCCAGCATCCTTCCTTCTCCAGGATTTTGGGAAGAGGTGGTAGGCTGCAGTACTCTGACTTCCCTCCTCGCTGAATGGTTTTGTGCTTAGATGAGAGAGCAGGTGAGGAGTGATGCTGACATGAAAAGACGTTGGACTCTGGCAGGTGTTCACCTTTCTCTCTTCCAAAGGTGCAGGTATCCCATGCATGTAACTGAGCCTCAGACAAACCAGTGCAAGCCCTGGTTGTGCTGTGGGTGCACAGTAGGTCTGGCAGAGCTGGGCAAGGCTGAGGCATCGTCCCTCTGTGGCACTGAAAGGTGTGTGCCTACCCAGACACTGCCAAGTGCTGTTCTGATTCAGAGAAAGCAGGAAGAGTAGTGCTATAGGAGAAGTTCAGCTACAGGTTTCTGCAGGTAATCTGTCTTACATTTTCCTCTTCCTAAAATGTGCTTTTTGTAACCTGTGGATCTACTGCAGAAGCTGTCCTGGGTCAGTTCTGTTTAACACCTTGAAATATGCTTCTTCATTACCTCTGCCAAGAAACTGTTACTGCATCTGGACAAATAAAACTTGGTTTTGCTCAGCATCTCATTATCTATGCCAGAATTTCTTACACATAGTTATTGCCCTCATTTAGTCACATGTATAGAGATGCCAGGTGATTTCTACAGTGTAAATGTGCTTTCCACAGTATGAATTAACACACTGATTTGAGTGGCATTAAATGGAAAGCGGTTTTGAACAGCTGGATGCATTTGAAAATAACTGTGAGAAAAACAATAGTGTACACATTGCTGAGAGTATTTTACCAGTGATTCAGGGAAGGCTTTCATGGCACAGTGGATCCCAGAGACTGAGCCTGGAACAGGGGCTGTTGCACCACTGTACAAGTGTCCCTAATGGTCTGCTGCTGTTACAGGTTGGTGCGTGAATGATGGCTTTGCACAGCTCTACAGCTTAGCTCTGCTCCAGGAGCCACTATGTCTCCTGTGTGCTTTTTGTGCTCATCAGGGTCCAGAATTTCTTAATTTTTCCAGAAGTATTGCTCAATCTTTTAGTTCCAATGATGCAACAGAAATGTGGTGAATGCTGTTGGATGATTCTTTTATCCACTAATCATTAGTCCCAGCTTTAGAAGAATTTACGAAGGAGTTACAGATCTTGGTATATCTCGAATAGACAGCAGTTGTTCTTCCTCCCAAGCACACAGTAAGTCAAAGATCATACTTTTGCCTTGCAGGTATAAACCATGCTGTTAGTGCTTGGGAAGGGTTCCACAACAAGTCAGGCGCTGTAGCCGATTGCTTGTGCTGCCCTGCACAGAGGGAGTGCAGGAGGTCTCAAAATCCATGTCAGATATTGCAGGTTGTTACTACTATGTAATCCACCTGGGCATTGAGTCCATGCTAAATTTAATTATATTTGTGGTAGATACAGGAATTCCTGTCCTAGATACAGGAGTTCCTTGGTCAAAATCCGTCAGTGATGTTTTATGCCTGTAGTTGGAGTAGCAAAGTGTTTCTCTTCATCTGCAAGCTGGTGCTCTTAATATTGAAATAACTTTTCTTGTGGTTTCCTGTGTTGACTGCTTACGTGGATTGACTCTGTGTGGGTTGGGGGAGGCTGTGTTACTGTGAGGTTTTGACAGAAAGTCCTTGTGCTCAGAAAGCAGCAGCATGAGGGCACAGTGTGAGTGGGATTTTCTTCCTGTTGGATGACAGTAGGTTTTCCACTGCTTCTTAACCATTTAAGATTGTCCTCAACTTTTTGTAAGAAAATAGGACTAGGATAAGATTATGTTCTGTATTGACTTCTCCATGACTGGAATACTGAAGCCAATTTTAAATATGATATGAATGTTGCCAGGAATAGAAACCTCTCCTAGGAAATGAATGCCACTTCTTGTCAGGGTCTATCCAGCAAATGCACTATGAGTTTTTGTTTCAAAATAGCATAATTTGGAATCACCAATATACTTGAGCATTCAGAAACTGTTTGCCTAGAAATGTATATATGTAGGTATGTATGTAACAAGAACATTTTTAGGGGACAGTCCCTCTACAACTGCCAGATATAGTGAGAAATGTTAACATGAAATTGAGTTGGTTTTAGAGCTGCAGTGAGATATGTGCTCTTTTCCAAGAACTTGATTATTGTAGTTCAGAAATGTCAGTTCTGAACCAGAAGGACACGGCTATCTAGCAATCCACTGAAAATAACATTACTCCATTAGCTGGCTTCCTCTTTAGTACTGCTGTGATGTAAGTCAATTATTTTAGCTTTAATTATATATCTTGTCATGTTTTTTATATTTGAGAGAGGGAGTAGCTACCCCATGCCACACCACCCTCACTAAATCCAGTACATCCTGTTTTATTTTTAAAACTTTTAAAGGTGAGGTCATTCTTTTTAAAGCTACTCTCAGGTTCTGAGAGCTACAGCCTTAGATTCTGTCCTGACAGGTCTCACTTAGGGAGGAATTCCCTCTTTCACACAAATGCAACTCTGCTGGTCTGCACACAGAGGTCTGACCCTATCCTCTGCTCCAGCTGTCCCCATGGGTGGTGCAGTAGCTGCTCTGCAGTTCTTTAGTTCTGTTCTGGGACCTGTTGAGTAGAAAGCCTGCTGACAGCCAGGAAGCAACAGTTCAGACTGTTGTGAATGCTGACACTTAGTTTTCTCTGGTCTAATGTGGAAGAAAACTCACTGGTAGCTGCAGGGAAGGACCTCTAATATTGCATGAATCTTTTGACCTCATGGCAGGATGGTGAGGAGCTTTCTGTTTATGAGCAGAAGGATGGATCTCCCTTGTAAAGATTGAGCTGGTGAGAGCTATGGTGGTTGCAAACCACCATTGGTCCATCTTCACCAGGAGGCCTCTCACACTGAGCGCTTTTTTCCACATGAATCGTTTCATGGAAACTGAGGGGCTCTGTAGAACTGAATTCTGCACAACAAACTTGGGTTCAGTAATTAAGTTCCAGACTTTGTGCTGAATAACAAAGAGGAAGAATATTTTATTTTCCACAAAACACTGGCTGCTTGGCCGGCAGTAGTTGTAGGATGTGATCCAAACCCATTGAATGGCAGTGGATCTCATTCTGTTCACTTCAGTGGAGCTGACCTGCAGGGTGCTCATCCTTATTAGTCAAGTTTAGTCCAGCAGTACTAGGGGTGAGCCTAGGATGGCTCTGCTCTATTGTACAGGCATAAAGGAAGCTGTGTGGGCAGTGGAGAGCTTGTGCTCTAAACAGAGACATTAACAGAGCAACCAAGCATCATACGTTCCTGCTGATTGGGAATGGGCAACAGGAGAGAGGGAGGGCAAAATTAAAAGCTTGGAGCCTGGTAAGGAGTAAAAGAGATGGCAAAAGAAGACATCCACCAGTATTGATAATCCCCTGTGAAGTCTTGTTTGTGGTTTGTCTTGGAAGTTGCTGGCCAGTTCCCATCGTCTGTGTATCCCCAGACTCACTGCATGCGCATTCAGGTAACTTCTGCATGGTCTCAGCACAAGAAGTTAACTGAGTGTCTAAGCATCTGATCCTGATCTCAGCAGCTTTAACACCTCTACAACAGCAGTTTATACACCTCTAAGTTAAGCATGTGCCAAAGTATTTCGTTAGTCTGGTGTCAGATGCTCAGTACGTGAGCCTGGAAGGGCACTGGGAGAGTCATTGTAACCACTGACATGACTCTGGGAAGAAACAGAAGGTGTTTGTGTTTGGTGTAGCTAATATGGAATACACATAAACACCAAATTAATCTCATTTAAAAACTTTGAATTAAGTCTGTTTGTCAGTTCACTGTAAAGGAACCTCCCACAGTTCTCCACCTTCTTTTTGTTTCCTGGTATATTTTCATTTGGGAAAGCTGCAGTGTGAATATGTTCTCTGCGCTCAACTGACCAGCCTGCTGGTTTTCGGTATAATTGTTCAAAAGGAAAGCCATAACATCATTAGCTTTTCTCTCTTTCTCCTTTGGATTGCCTTTCATTCCTGCTCAGGTCTTACCCAAAACCTGCTTACCTCCCTGTTTCCTATCCTTTCAGCTTCTTCAAATGCGATGACTCAGCAGCTACAGGATGAATTTGACAGCAGCGTGGAGAATGCAGAAGCTTGGATGAAGGCCATCCAAGAGAGACTGAGGATCAATGACAACACCAAAGGACCTCGATCTGCCCTAGAAGCCAGACTGAGAGAGACTGAGGTAAGGGAAGAGCGATGGAATTCGGAGGTGGCTCTCACTGCTGCCGTTGTTACAGCAGGTATTGCTGGGAGCTCAGGAGTTTTCCATCAGGAAATTGTCAGCTGCCCCTGGAGCATTGGGCCTGTGTGGATGGGTTCACATCAGTATTCTTTTAAATTTTCTATTTGAAAATTGTTTACAGATGTAGAAAAAGAGGATGGCAATTTGATATTACAGTCTTCCAAGATTTTCAGATTGATTTGGAACACTAGCAGCAGGTTTGGCAGGTTAAAATGTTTACACTCTGCTCAAGCCTGGAACAATTTGGTTGCTGCTTGCAATTACCATAGTAATTTGCAGACAACCAGCATATAGTATAAAAGAATCAGATCATGTTTGTGTTCCATCCCCTCCGGGACTCTGGCACTGATAGAAAAATATTGCAGTGTCCTGGTAATAGGCCATCTTGGAGTAATTCCTTTCTCCTTTTCCATAACCCTGATGATAACAGGATTTACAGATCCCCTATATGATCTGTTCAATGAAAAGGTAAAAGTTCTCATTTTCTCCTGGTTTTACTTAATCTGTTTTATAATTCTTCTCAGCAAGATCCTGTTGCAGATTATGCCTGCTCTCTTACAGTGATTTCACATTCATTAACTTCAGTTTCATTAGATATTATCTAGGTCTTGTAATCTCAGTGAAGGAAACACTCCTGTTTGTCCCATTTATACCATTGGAAGGAGTGGTGTTCTTTCTATGACTAACATTGAAACTATTTTTATACTTTTATTATCTTACATTCTAAGTAATCTGTAATTTAAATGGCAAGATCTTTTCCGTTGTTATTTACCCCAAAGTCTCTCCTTTTGTGTATCTACTTATATTTGGACTGCCTCCTCTGAAGTTTAACAAAAAACATTGCAGGCTTACATGGATGATGGGGTGGTTTACAGTGATATCTTCAGCCTTTTTCCTTAACTGTGGTTTATTGGAGGATGGATCTTGCCTGTGGCATAATATAGAGACTGTTCATGGAATGATGCTAGATTTGCATGTCAGTCTTAAAAACTGGAAGCATTTTATCTTGGTCTATAGTTTAATTTTTCTGACCTTAAATTATTTATCCCACCCTTTTGTCTGGGAAACTATGCTGTGTGTAATCTCAAGAAACATGCAAGAAACACAGGAGCTCTAGTAGAAGAGTGGCAGTTTGGCAAAGGGAGAACATTCATGGCAGAGATAATAAGTTATAAGGTCTAGAGATTTGTGGGGATGTGATATTGCCTGAACTGCTGAAGCCTGTTTACTTTTGTAGGCTTTAGAGGATGTCTGTAACATGCAAAAAGTCATGTTAAGAAATTCTTTCAACTCAGACTTTGGAGAATCATCATCTTTCTTCCTGTGTGTACCTTAACCACCTCCTGCTCCTTCATCCTGCTTCCTTTCTGGGCTTGGCTTCTGTCTCCAGCTTGAATGTCCTCGTCATGTGCTCACTGCTTCCCTATTGGCTGTTTTCAAATCCAGTGTTTAGTCTTATGTTCTTTTTTTGCACCTGGCTTGCTTGGTTTTTTTCATGCTTCCTTCCTGTGGTTTATTTTCTGCTAATTTGGTAGTGAAAATGTCAGCCAATGAGACAAACTATGTAAAAAACAGATTTGAAAAAGAAAAATGGCTGTACAGCCACTGGTTTCTCTCCAGCTGTTGTTTGCTTTTAATTGCTGGAAAAAGATCAGGCTTAGAATACAGCTTAACTCTTTCACTGTACCTGTTGGATGATAGCTGTGGCTTGTATTTTCTTGCTTTGCCCTGCCCTTTGCCCTGCTTCCCTGGATTCTATTAATCACACCTTTCTTAGTAAATAATTTCTCCAAACAAGTGTTTATACATCACGTGCAGGTGTGCTGCCTACACGCCAAAAGAACAGGCTTTGCTTTTCCCAGAATGTGGGACTGGAGGTGCAAACGCCTTTTAGTTGTCTCACCTTTGCAATAACTGACATGATCAAATCCCATAGGCCTAATTTTACCAAAAGTAATCGCTGATTTTGAAAATCTTACTGTTTTCAATGTAGAAGCCCTTTTCTCTAAACTGGGAAGTCTGCAGTTTGCCAGGAGTTTATGGAAGAACAGCAAGAAAAGCTAATTTGATAGTATCAGAAGTTTGGCTAAAGTAATGTTGAAAGCTGACATTTGAATTGGGGGATAATTAATCTGTTAAATTGTACAGAACTTGTGTTGATTTTTCCATCTCTGGATACTTAAAATTACATGACTCCACTTTCAGTTCCTGGAATTCCTATTTGTGTAAGATACACATTTTCACCAATTCATAACTTAACAATTTAGGGTCAAAGCAAAATTTAGTAACAGGCAGAAAATTCCACTAGTTAATTTCTCTTGGCTTCTTTTCTAAGCCAACTTTTATTTGCACTAGGAAGCCTTTTTAATATGCTTCATGATTCCTTATAGTAGAGCTTAAAATTGAGAGGTTGCAGTGTAGCCTGTGCAGGTTGCCTCTTTGTGCCTTGGCAGGTGGGGAAGAGCAGCTGGCCTGTGGCATCACGGTGTTGTAACCTTATAACAGCAATGGAAACACAACCACGGGCATTTCATAGAGGATGGTCTGGTTTTTGTAGCTAGCTTAAATGTTCTTCAACTGCTGTTTGGTTTTCAATTAAATTCAGTCCTTTAGGATGTTTAAGAATGACCATGTCTGAAAAAACATTCCTATTTTCCTTTCAGGAGAAACTGCAGCAGGGAGTTGGGTGGGAAGGGTTAATTATCTGTGTTGTAGAGAAACATTTCCATCCCGTGGTAGTGTCAAGGTAACAACTGGAGTCAATGGTTGTGAGGGTCTAGGTGAGAATCAACCTAGATGATTCTATGAGTTCATGATTCCTGGGTAAAACAAAGTTTACATTTCATCAATTATGCTTGTTTTCTTTCCATGCTTTCAGTATCATTTGTTTTTCTCATAGAAAATACGTGCACTGGAACCAGAAGGCAGCTTGAAAATGGACTTGATTCTTGTGAAGGCAGATGCTGCTCTTCGCAGCATCAGTGAGGATAAGAAGCATGCGGTACTCTCTAAACTGAAAGACATTAAAGCCTTGTGGGAAGAGACAGCCATATACATTACTCATTGCCACAGGTAAGACAAACACACTCTTGGGTGTGTTGAGGCAGCTATTTCCTCATGCTTTCATAATGTGCTTCCTGCTTCTCTCTGCTCCCTGGATTGTAGATAGCAAATCCCTGCTAATCCCAGTCCCATGAGCATTTTGGGAGAGAGGATCAGTCAGACCTCAGGGCTCTGCCTTCATAACCTGACCCACCCACCCCATGGCCTGGAATGATGAATTTGGTCAGGCATGGGGACCCTATACAGAATATTTCCTCCTCAAAGCAGAGAGGGCCTGGGAAGTGAATCCAAACCCGTGAAGTCAGAGCAAGTTAAAATTGCTGAGAACCTTGTGCGCTGCTTTGAAGGCCTTTTGAAATCGTTGGTCTCCACTGCTCCCATCATCATTTCATCTAACTCCTCTCTCTTGCTCTCCCCAACAGCCGCATTGAGTGGGTCTGGCTGCACTGGAGTGAGTACCTGAAAGCCCAGAATGAGTTTTACACGTGGATTCACAACATGAGGGTGACCTTGGAGCCTGACATTGAGTTGCAGCTTGGCTTAAAGGAGAAGCAGTGGCAGCTGAGCCATGCTCAGGTTTTGCAGAATGATGTCCTAAATCAGTCAGTCCTGCTGGAAAGGCTGCTGGAGGAAGCTGCTTCGTTGTTCAGCAGGATAGGTGACCCCAGTGTTGATGAGGATGCTCAGAAGAAAATGAGGGTGGAATATGAAGGAATCAGACAAGAAGCTCAGGTACACTTATAAATTCAAATTCCTCCCGTCTGTGGTGTTGTTTGCTACTTGTTCCTCCTGTTGTTTACCTCTTGAGTGATGGGGCTTACCTGGAAGGGCTGCAAAACGAATCAGACCTAAGGACCCCTGTTCTTTCAGTCAGTGGACTGTTTGAAACAATTGTCGAGTCCCAAGATGAGCTGTTGTCCTGGGGTGATGTTAATTGGGATGCTCTTACGTGGTGCTTTACAGTGTGTTGCTGTAAAGTAACTGCAGGCTGCTTGCTGTGACCTAGTGAGTACTGCTTTAGGACATCTCTGTATAAAGTTTGAATTGTGCCTCATCTTTCAGCACATTAGTGGTTCATGTATAACCAGATGCAGAGTACCCATTCCAGGAGCCAGGGATTATTACAAGGACACAGCCTTGCTGGAGGAAGTAGCTGCCCTCCCTGCCTGCAGAACTGGGAAACACAGAGGTGGGAGTCAGCTCTGGCCCAACACTTGCTCAGTGGCCACTTCCACTATCTGAAAGATTTTCATGCACACTAATTCTTGCCCAATACCAATCTTCCAGCTTGAACAGTTGTTAGATGGGCTGGTTTAAGACATCCTGCTTCATCTTTTAGTACTGGTGATTTCCTTTCACCCTATTTTTGAGTAAAGATTTCAGAAAATGCTTGTACTTTTAACTTCTAAAACTCAAATAAAGACAGGATTAGACCATGTGGTAAGGCTGAGGGGCAGACATCTGTGGATGGGCAGAAGAATTCAATTTCTTACTAATCAAATCGATAGAAATACTCAAAGGGATATTATATATATATATATAGATACATCTATACCAAACATATAGAAATTAAAACCTACTTTTTGGTCATAGTGGGTTCCAGAATTTCACAGGCTGGAATTACCTGGTGCAAATAGAAATAATTTTGATTACATTGGTTCTGCTGTCTGCCTCTGTTATAATGCTGCCTTTTATTAATTTCCACATCTACACACCAGTCCAAAACTGGACCCTGACAGTGATGGATTCTTTCCCTCCCTGGATGCTGTTGTACAAAGTTAGCTTCAGATCACACTGTAAGAACAACGACATTCAGATGCTTGTTCCATTTCCCTGCTTGCCCCATAGATACATTTTCTCTTTTGGAGTAAAATACCCCAAGCCCCAAAAGTGACCAAAACACCCTATTCTGGCATCTTTTGTGAGTATGTAGTTATACTTTTCTAGCCATAAATATACAACTACTGCTAATGTCTCTCCAAAATCTAGAGTATGTTTGGAAATTCTGTAGCTCCAGCTGCCGCAGAGAAGTCACCAGCAGACTTGGGCCTCAACCTGATTATTTATTTTTAAAGGTAGATCTCTTGATTACAAGGTATCTGGATATACAAATAAGAAGGTTCTTGGGAATTCAGGTGTTGTCTGTCTAGATTGCCATTTGAAATTATCATTCACTCCCTCCTCACCAAAACTGTCTTTGGTTTTGAAGCTGGAGACAGTCATTAGTTATTTTAATAAAGCTGTTCTTTTAGACAAGTAATTTGAATACTCAAAGCCAGAATGTGACCTCTCTGAGACTGGTTTTACATAGTGTGATTTCTCTAACCAACTTGGATATGTGCGGGTGTAAATGAGATCAGGAAGTGGCTCATACTGCTTAGACAAAATATGTCTTTATATTTCCAGCCAACTAGACACTAGAAAAAGCTTTTCTTTGGCATTGGTTATAAATACCACATTTCATAGAAGGATGGAGTGAGAGAATCCAGCTAAGAAATCCCTCTTTCAGGAGGTGTGGAACAAAGAAGGGAGTTGGAAAGCCTTGGATTTTGCAACTGAAGTAAATGAGGAGTTTATTATCTAATGCCAAGGTTACAGGCACCTTGGGAATTGTGTTGGAAAGTATAACACTTGTGAGGGAAGCCCTGCCACCTTTTCCAATGGGCAGGAGGAATGAATGAATGAATGAGAGACAGGAGTTGTAAGGGGATTGCTCTGGCCCCTCACATGATGAGAGGCCAGACTAAATGTGACTTGCAGATCCCAGCTGAATGCCTGAGCGCAGCAGGCTCGCTGGTATTTGTACATTACACTGCTGCTTGAAGAGCATTTTTAGAGCCTGTGCAGTTGTTCAGCTCTATCAGAAGGCAGGCTCTTGGACAGTGTTTCTTAAATGGCTTGCCTGTGATCTTGCTTCTTTGGTATGAACAAATGGCGGGAGGTTTTTTTTTTTCCTTAGTGCCAACATGTGTCTTTAACATTTGCAAATTTTAAAAGCATATCTTTTAATTACGTAGACAGGAATATTTTTAGATGTGGCAGCCATGTCCTACATGCTTTCCCTTGCCCAGAAAATTAAAAATATGTAGAGGTAAATGTTATATGTTTCAACATAAATGATGATTGAAGATGGTAAGAAAAGTTATGATATATCGGACGTTGATATTTAGGAATTATATTAAATACTTCTGAGCACATCAGATTAATTTCATTCTATGTTGTCTCTGTTAACTGAAACCTAGATACTTACAATACTTTGCAAAGGTACCCCAAAGGTAAGACTAAAAGCACCAGGAAGGGCTACAGGAGCTTTGTGTACACAGAGGGATTTAAAGTAGGGACTTCCTTTTCTGCTCTATATTGCCTTCCAGAGGAGGCTTATTTGACTTCACTGACAGTGAAGGGAGCTTAGGGCAGAGGGCTTTCTAAGCCTCTGTCTGCCTTCCTTGAGTACCCAGGGCTGGGCATATTCTGCCCAGACACATCCCTTTCTCTGCAGCCCATGGCAAACCCATTCCTTTCCTGTCTGTGCTGTTATTCTTTACAGGGCCATGTCCTGGCTTTGTGTCTCCTCACCTTGGCCTAGTGAATGTGGATGTTGAGTTTCACACTGTGCTGCTCCCCAAACAGCTAAACTAACAGGAGCAGGTGATACCTTACTTTTCATCATTGGAAAGTTCTCCTGCTTAGCCAACTCTTTGTAAGCCCTTTGTCTGACAACTAGCACAGTCTGTCCAGATCCATGGCATCTATTCCTTGATATCACAGACCAGCAGTCACCCAGACTGCTTATTCCTTTATTCTAGTTGGCCATGGGTAGGTTGTTCTGACTTCCTTTTGAACCCCTCTGTATATCGGCCTAAGATTTTTGAGCTTAACAACATCTCTGCTTTGATATTCTGATTTATGCCTTTTGGAACTTCTGCCAGTAAAATAATCTAATTCCCTGGAGTCAATAAGCTTAGCCTGACTTGAGTCACTTTGTGTGGCCCTTTTACACTGCTGTAAGGTTGTCTTCTTCAGATCCTTGACTTGAGGTCGAAGCATGACTTGTTTAGCCTCTGCAGATTTCAGAATTGACACACAGGGATTTAGCAAGTGAGGTGCTCTGCTGGATACATCTTGGCCACGGAAGTCTGCAGTCATAATTCTACCCTTTGGTTTCATCCAAACCTGTGTATGGCTGGTGCTATTAAAGGTCATGCTCTAATAAACAGGCAGCATTTCATCCTCTGTGGGAAACAACTGTCCCTTAGCTGTTCCTCCTTTGTCCCACAGTAAGTCAACTAACTTGAGGGGAGTCACTCAGGGTTTGCAAAAGTCAGCAGAGACTGAAGTGGCAGTGTGAAAAACAGGCTGGTGGTGTTCCACTTGCAGGGGGGTAGCTTTGTAGTGCACCATGGGCCTACCTTGTCCCAAAGGTGAAGGGAAAGTCCCAGAGGGACTTCCATCCCCAGCACACAGGGGATGCTGCTGGCCTGGCTGACAGAATGGACATGGCTCTGCCACCTCAGGCAGGTTGACAGGTGTGGGGACATCTCCAGAGCCTCACAGGGCCAAGGGAAATGCAAAGGGGACTTTTCAGCTCTACCCATCATTGCAGCTGTCACTCTACTTGCCCTGGAGGGCAGCTGCTCAGGGGCCAGTGCTGTGTCCTGTATTACACAAAATGAAACTTGGACCATTGTCTGGGAGAGCAAAGCGTGCTTTCAAGCATGCTGCAAGCACTAAATGGATTGCACAAGGAATGATTTTTTTACATCTAATATAACCACAGTGTACCTCAATTGCTCTCCATGCCAGCTGGAGAAGGGCAAGGAAAAAATCAGTCTGATTTGGAAGAAGATAATACTTATGTTGACTATTATACTAGTGAAACAACAGAGCAAGTGATTTGTGTCAAAATCAAAAAGGTCTGAACTTGGGCTGGCAAACTGAGGCCAGTCTGAGCAAATGTGACTCTGACTTGTGAGGAGTGCCAGACTGGATCAGCAGGCAGCAACTCATGATGTGCAGGCCCTTGTAAATTCAGCAATTCTTGGTTATAGGCTGCACAGGCAGTAACTTGAAAAATGAAGCCTGCTTTCCATTGGCTTGAATTTGCTTCCAGGGTCTGTGATACCACCACGGAATAGTTTATGACCTGATAAGTAAGTACAAAAGTGCCTGGACTATACAGTTGAAGGTGATGCTCATTTTCAATGCAGTCTGTTTAAATAATGAACAGTTTAAAACAATTTTCATGCCTCTACTGCATTCTTTTTTTTCATTTTGAGAGATAAGGAAGATGTGCTCGTCTTTATTTTTAACCCAAAAGAGGAATGTAACTGCTTGTATCTCAAAGTGAAAATCAGAAACAAACTTCTGTGTCTTTTCTAATGAGAGAGTAGGAAGTTTTTGAAAGAGAAATTCAGCTGACGGGGCTTTGCAGTTTGTGTTCTTGGAGACTTAGACATTGAGAGCCTGCAGTAAAATTCAGACAGGAGCAAGCCTTTGTGTACTTTTGTATTCTGTTTCTCGAGGTAAACTTTGAATTCCTGTGGAGGCCAGGTGTTATGGGGGCTTGTGAAAAGGGAGTCTTGTTTATAAATTCTGGGTTACAAGGTAAAGAGCCAAATAAGCACAGTCCTCACCACTTCTGATGTCTCTTGTTACAGAACAGAGTGAAACTGCTTGAAACAATAACCAAGGAACATGAGCAGTACAGCACCAGTGTCAACCAGTTCCAGTCGTGGCTGAGTGGTGTCACAGAGAGATTAAATTGCTGCATTGGAGAAGCAACCAAGTCTTCAACAGAGGACAAACTAAAAGCACTGAAGGTCTTTGAACAATATAGCTCCTACAAGGAGTTAGAATTGTGTGTTTTTCACATATGAACCCATATGTGTTGCTCAAACCATACAAAGGTGTCCTTGAGAAAAGAATTACACGTACAAAATAGATGGTGATTTTAGCATGGGCTAGGGCAGATGAGTTGTATGAAGTCCTGAAACTGTTTGTATGTATGGTTCTTCCAGTATGAGTCACAAACTGGTCTGGTTTGTTTTTCTTAAAGCCTGAGCTCCAATGGTTATGTGATTCTTCGAGAATCTTGTTTAAATAAATCAGATTTGGCAAACATGATCCAAATAGACCCTAAGGGTTCACAATTTTTGATAGTTTAGAAGTGGTGATGAAAATACCAGTTTTGAGAACAATATCCTTTGCACTCATGCCAATGCTTTTAATGTTTAACTTAAAATCTCTGAGATCCTACTATTAATATATGTCTAGCGCCTGCAGCTCCTGTTCTCTTTGTCAGGGATCTCAGGTAGTAAGCATTAATGAAAACCAATATTTTCAGTATCAATGGCAATTAGTATTACTCAGAAGGCAGACTAACCCTGGCTTCTGGTCACTTGAAAAAAGACATATTTGGAAATAAGAAGTGAAAACCAAAATACGTACAACCAGGAGAGGTGGTCTTTTTTCCTACTAGTTTCAGCTCTTTCCCCAGCTTCCCATTCCTGCAGATAATTTTTATTTAACTTCTTTTTGCAGGAAATTGCCAAAGACATTAGGAGTGGTGGAAAGAAATGGAAGCACCTTGAAAGTCAGTGTGCAGAGGTGATTCAGAATACCTCTCCACTTGGATCTGCAAGACTGAAGGATGAACTTGAAGAGCTTAGAAAAGCCTTGGAGAAGTTGAAACTGCTGAGTAGTGAGGAGGAGGAAAGATTGCTCAAGATCCAACAGTCTGAAAGTGCCTATGAGTCCCAAGCCAGACAATTAGAAGCAGACATCCAGCAGCTGAGGAAAGATCTACAGAGACTAGAAAATGACCTGGATCCTGGGGAAGGAGAAAAGACTGAAGATGAGTTTGTAACTCTGTGGAAAAAATGCAATGTAAGTTGTTATCCTTCGTGTGGAGGATCAAGCGTAGCTGTAGACTGAACATGCATAGTCACATCCAAAAGATACCTGTCCCATTGGTTAGAGATGATAAGGAAATAGAGATGAGTGTGTGTGAAGCACACTGAGGAAAATGTGACTGCCAACAATGGAATCAACTGCCCCAGCCTTCATCTTACACTGCACAGAAGGAGCAGGCTTGGAGGATGCGCTGGAGTTTGTGCCTAGAGTTCAAAGGGATCATATGCAAAAAGAGCACAATACAGAGCAAACAACACAATTTGCTCCACTTAAAAAGAAGCAGGAAATTAATGCCTCACTGACTATATATATACACAGACACAAGTGCATTCACAGACACAAGTACACATATTTCTGAGGTATTTGGTAAGACCATTGCTATGTCATATCCATCATCTCTGTAAAAGAGGCACCTCTCTTCCTTTACTAGCAGACACATCATCAGTACTAAGAAGTTCCAAGATTGTAGCAATCCAATATTTACACCAAAACCAATCTGCTGCAAAAATGAGTGTGGAAAGAACTGTCACACATTAAGTAGATAAGAATCTTTACTACTCGTTTTCTCTTGAGGGCTGGTTTTGCATTTGTTATCAGTTCTCAAAATGCCTTTCATTGCTGTGTGTATGTCTAGGGCTATTCAGGACTAACTGGGAAAAGTATATGCAAAAAGGATCAAAAAAATTCAGACTGGTTCAATCCAGCTACATTTGCATGGGTTTTAGTTGGTTTTGTTTCCCTGAGTCACCCTAGAATTAACATTCTCTATATGTGAGTCTCTGAGAAAGATCTGTTGAGGCTTTTAAACAGATGCTTTTAAGACTGCTCCAAAAATGCAGCTCATGTTATATACTGCAATCAGTGAACTGAAACCCTGTTTGGGATTCACTCTGTTCAAACAGTGAACCCTGCAGATCAGATGCAGAGGCTGGGTAGTGTTAGGGAAGGAGAGAGAGCCTGCTGAAAAAAAAGCCTGTTGCTGAGAATGTTTTCTGTCTTAGCAAAGACCATATTCCTTTTAACCAGGAAAAAAGCCACTGAAAGGGGATTTGTGATACCCTGAGACACAGCCTTACTTCTTATTTCATATGCCAGACACTACATAAGGTGTGATCTGTTCATTATTTTTATAATTAAGGCAACAAGAGCAGCTCTGGCTGCAGAAGAGTCAAAGATTGAGAGGCTGAAGGCTCAGCTTAAGGAGCTGCTACGGTTTTCCCAAGATGTGCAGCCACACGCTGAGAGTGTTGTCTCTGCAATACAGCAGTATCAAAGGTACTGGGAAGTCTGATTATGGTGGGCAGCTGGGGGGAATCTTCCCTCAGGAATTGTCAGGGGCCTAGGGAAAAAAAAGTGATATGCAATTCAATTGTATGTGATGGGTAGAAAAAAAAAAACTTTTGATAATTACATCTGCCTCTATTTTTCAAAAGCTGTAATTTTAGCCATTTGCTAGGAACTGGAGGCTCCTGGTCATTTTCAAGCAATGATCTTACATCATTAAGGTTGTGTATGGTTTGAAGAAAATTAGATTGTTGGCAGCTAATTTGATCGAATTAGCATTTTATAATAATAATTTATGTATTTTGCTTGCCTGTCATGCTAGCAACTAGAAAATCAGGACAGGAGCTGTGGTAGTAAACGGTTCAGAAGAATTATGGCCCTCCCTTTTTGAGTTTGTTGCTGTGACTCACCAGCCTTAGCAATTATTTGGCAGAGTTTATTCCCCTTCTCCTGGCAGCTTATATGCATGTTCCTGTTTTCAACTTGCCTTGGGTTGGAAACTCTGAAAGTTTAGCCTCTCCCAGACTTCAGTGTTTCCGTTTCCAGGCTGCCTGGAATCAGGAAGTAAAGAAGCTGCAGCAAATTTTGCAAACTAGAAGAAAGGATCATTTTTTAAGGGAAAAAAGAAGGTCAGTTCTTTTCCTGTATCCCAGCTTATTTCCTTCTGTGCACGGTATGCTGTCCTGCTGGAAGGGTTATAGGTCATTGTGAGAGGATTTCAGTTTAAAAGCTAGCAAGTAAACAAAGTTGAGAGAGGAGCAAAGAAGGCAGGAGACTTGCCTCTGAGTAGAAAATGGCAGCTGCTTCTTTGCCAGCTTCTCTTAAAGCTTTTTTGGGAAATCTGGCAGCTTCCCACTGAGCCTGTCAGGGGCAGCAGAGCAAATGGCAGAGGATGTGTTAAGTCAGAACTTTCTATTTGCACAACTTTTGGCTTCTGCAAACTTTCCTTTGTTTAGCCCCGTCATGGCCCAGTGACACAGGTAAGATTGTTGTTTCTGGTTTTATGGAAAAGCAGTATTGATCCTGACTGGCATTGCTCTCACCTGCTTGTCTTATGAGTTTGCAAGATACTGTTGCCCTGTGAGCATAAAGTTTGGGCTGCATTTTGCCAAATCAGGCACTATTCTGCAAACTGGGAGGTCAGGCAATTTGAGAAAAACAGGAGGCAGCCGCATGGGGTGTGTCACTGCTGGGCCTTGTCTCTTGGCTGTGTTTGGGCTGTGTTCTTTTTTAGAGAAGCCTGGATATTCATTGAAGATTTGCTGATTTAATTTTTTTTTCCCAGTAATAGAGCTGTGTATGTATGTTGATACAAATACATAAATAAAAAGGGGTTTTTTATCAGAATCACCTCTATGTACTAATATAAATTCAAGTGATTCTGCAAAATTTAAAATAATTGTATCTGAAAAAATTTTTTTTCTCTTTTTGTGTTAACATCAAGTTATCAAAGACTTTTTAATGTAATTTTTTTAAGAAAAAAACCCTTGTTTTTTACAGGCAACTGCAGTTACATTCTAATCACTCATGATTTGTTCCTCCCATGAGTTAGTGAGACTGCTCCAATAACATGCTTTGTTAAATCACTCTGGTGACAGCAGCCAAGAAAGATCATATACATACAAGGGAAGACTGCTGGCTACTAGAAAAAGCAAAGTAGCTCCTGATACACAGCTGCACAAAAGACAAATGTGTCCTACAACATCTAAATAAAGTTTGTCAGATGTCTCTGACTGACAGAGCAGCTGTTAGTGCGCAGCAGCAGGCTCAGGCAGTAAAACAGACTGAGGCTTTTGTGTTGTCTATGGTTTACACCCCAGTATTGTGTTAATTCATGCCTTGAAGAATAGAATGTTTGGGCTTGGATTTCTTCATAATCCTTCTCTTGGTTGTCACTTTATCCTTACAGTGTTAGAAGCAAGACTTCTAAAATGAGCGCTGATACAGAAACCCAGCTGTGGAGACTCATCCAAAATCCCCTGCAAAGTTTTGCACAGTGGAAGCCGTCGGTCCAGATGCTGCTGGAGACTTCAGAGCCAGAACTGGCTCACATTGAGGTAGCAAAGCTGCTGCTAAGTTCAGAAATGTGGGTTTGACCAAGCCTGCAGGCAGCAGCAGCTGGAAGGTCCTGCCAGTGTGGCAGGAAAACCCACAGTGGGGATGGAGCTCTTTGCTTGGCTCCAGCTGTAGCACTCTGTCTTATTTCTGCCTTCCATTTGGTTAACTGGAGTTGTCAGCTGAGCAGGCTGCAGAAAGTGCTAGATATCTTTAACAATAATGATAATATTGTTTAACATTAACCCAGATCTCCCTGGATAGGAAGTTTGTGGAGTCTTTTAAAGAATTATGTGGTACTATAGATGCGGGATTAAAATGCACAATTAGTGCATGTGCCCAGCAAGGTGTGTTTGTTACTTTGTCATCCCTGTGATCTCCAGAATAAATGTGTCTGTGAACAGGGATGGAATTTATCCTCAGGATGAGCATTCAAGCTGTCCTTTCTGTTGGTTGTTTAGGCCTCTCCTCTGCACAGACAACTCTTTCCATAAGTACAGCTTACCTTCTTTCTGTTCACAAAATGGATGCAGCCCTGGTGCCTCTAGCATTATCAGGAAGGTTTTTCCTTTAACTGGGCTCTGTCCAGGTACCTTCTGTTACCCCTTGTTGCTCCAGCATGCTGTTTCTACTTGACTTTGTCATACTGCTTTGGTTGTGTGACTTGTGTGAGAATAATATTGTTATATGATTTTTTTTTTTTTGTATGATTTCACTGGAATAACTTTTCTCCTCCAGGCTGCTCTAGCTGAAAGCTCCCATTTCAAAGAGAAGTTGATGACGTTACAGCTAAAGAAAGATATGCTAAACAATGTCCTTGGTGAGGAAAAAGCACAGTCTTTTCTTCAAGAAGTAGCTGAAGCTTCAAAGGAGAGAGAAGTTCTACACAAAAATCTGCTGCAAAGGAAGAGCAAACTCCAGGTGAACTACAAAACCCATATACTGTCTTTGCCTGTGATAAAGACAAAGATGAAGTCTTTACTAAGCCAGTTTTATACATATAAATTTAGTACTAATCCCTTTTCCTAGGTTGATCAAATATTCAAATAAATATGTTGTCTGTTTTATAGTGTAGCTCAGTGTTTGTTCTGAATGTGAAGGAGATATTGACAAAACATAATGCCAAGGGTTATAGGTTGAATTCTGGACCTGTTTTCTTATTTCTCCATCTAGAATTTGATATTGCAACATAAGAACTTTGATGCTGGTTTTGCACCATTGCAGAAGAAATTATCTGCCATCAAAGCCAAATTAGATCTGGAGAAGGAACCACAGCCTGACCTCTTGGGTAAAAAGACACAACTCCAGAGACTTCAGGTACATTACGGTATTGTTTGGCTATGTTGTCCTCAGCTAACTGTGGTTCCTGTTCATATTTTCTTAGCATTGGGAATTCAGTACCTTCCCCCTTGATTGTGTGTTGGATAATTTCATTTGGTCCAGTTTATAGCACGAATGAATGAAATTAAAGCAGTGCAGATGAAGCACTGGCAAACTGAGCTTGAGGGAAGGAAGAAGCAGCTGGAAGCCGTTGGTGGTACACCTTCTTGGGCTAGTTTAATTGCTAAAGACAGTGTATCCTGACACTTCCCACTAGCAGTGAAACTGCACAAGATAGATTGGTTCAGGTTAACTTCCTCAGAAGAGTTGCCATTGTTCCACTTCCTTCTGTAGCCTCCTCTTTCTGCTGTTTGCTTTGTCACTTAGCTGTGACAAATGCTGGATTTACTCCATGGCTGATTCAGCTGTCCAAGATAAGAAAAATATAATGGGAAAAGATTATAATTTTTTGTTTAGTGTTTTGAAATGGTTCAGCAAAGGGTCCAACATGCAGTAGAGCCTGTTCAGTGCATACAGTGGGATTACATACCTGGGAGAGGGGACAGAGAAGCAGGAGGAGAAGGAGAGGGGATGTGACTGCCATGGTGAGCTGTGATGGTTCACCTGTACTGTGGCACTTCATCCTTGGTGACCACAGGGGTGTTGTCACCACAGTTCTTTGCTGGTTATACTATGGCTCCTTTGGCACGTCTCAGCAACTTATCTTCTTTGTTACCTCCCAGTAACATGTAAAGGACATCCAACTATTTTTTTCAGAAAAATTTACTCCTAGGCATCAAAGCAATTCATTTTCTTAATGACAGTGGTTGTTGTTGGGTGTTTTTCTCCTCACACTGTCAAATGAATCTACCTTTGGTATACGTTTTTGAAAGTCCATGCCATACGTAGCACACTGCACATATGGAATCTGTCTTTTGCTCTGCAGATGATCCAAGATGACTTGGCAGAGCTTGCAATTCACATGGAGGAGGTAGAGAAGCTTGTTCAGTCAAACACCACACACAGGCATGAAATGAACCAACTTTCATCTGACTCTCAGGCCCTGAAGAGATCACTGGAGGTAACATAAGTTTTTAGTTGCCAGGGGAGTTGTCAGTTGCTTCTATTAAAAAATATTTTAAAACATCTTTGAGGATATGACATTACATGCTTTGAGTGACAGATATTTTCATTTCAGGGAAAGAAAGCACTGAATTCTTAAGACTTTGATAACTCTTCCAGGTTTCTCTGATTATCTCTAATGTGATCTCCCTTGGGGAGAGGATGCCATCCACATGGATTTTATGCCTATATAAACTGTTTCTGGAGTGGACCTGAGATTTCTGACCAGAAAAACTCATATTTTCATGGTGGTGCTTGCACTTCACAGATTGTCGGAGAGGGACTTTGTACCAAAGTGTTTGGGGGTTTTATGGATTTGTGACCTAAAAGTTAATGAGAGAAAAGTGCTGTGATTGCACAAATACATGCTTTGTCCTGAAGCACTTTTTAGCTTGCAAACATACCTATAAAATGACCCTCAGAGCAATCTCAGAAGATTGTCAGAAGAAGAGCTCATAAAGTTACCTTAGCTATGCAGCTCACTTAAAACGACATGTGTTAAAGTGTTACCTGAACATGCACTATGAATTCTAGTTTGTTTCAATCATCCCATTTACCACGGAACTGAATTTTTGCCAAACAAGTCTGTACAATCATTTGTGATTCAGGGAGTGTAAGATGTACTTGATATTGACTGGGGCACAAAAACCCTGGGTTTTTTGTATATTCTCTATTCCCTGAGAAGGAAGGGAGCTATTCTAGTTCTTAATACCCCACCGTGTGGTTGAATTCAGGCCTGCAGGAGCTTGGAGGTGTTTTCCCCACCACTGATGCTAAAAGGATAGGTTTTTAATAGCTGCTTTTTTCCTTTTTGCCCATGAGGTTCTGTGCCCATCATAGTGTTAGAGCCAGTAAAGAAAGTGCTTTTGGTCTGTCTTTGGTTGCTGACATATTTTTATCATTTTTAGATGATGATACAGCAGAGTGAAGACCATGTTCAGAAGCATTGGGCATATAATGACAAACTGTCTGACCTCCAGCAGTGGATCTCAGTAACCAGGGAGAAGATTGACTCCTGCCAGGATGCTGATGGAGAGCAGAACACCGAGGGCAGGCTGGAAGACTTGGAGGTGAGAAAAGCATCTTAGTTTAGCATGTTAATTATTTCCTTTGCAGCATTCAGACATTAAGAGTGGGGGTTTCTAGTGAGGATTTCCTGGTTCAGGAGAGTAATGATGTGTGTTTCTACTTCAATAAATGTTGGCTGCTGTTGCCTGTCTTCTTTGCCCTGTGTTGTGGGATGTGGGGCCATGTAACAGACAAGAGTAGTCAAAATGAGTAAGCAGTGTTGAGATGGATAAATTATTATCCATCTGTGGTGGTCTGTTCCTGTCAGGGTGCTCTCTCTGAACAATACCTGCCTTTGCCTGTGTGTACCCATCAGTATATTGAAGATTCCTGCCATTTTAGCTGGCCTTCTACTTGTTGAACTGAGCTGTTCCAAAGCTGCCAGCTTTTTCCTGTGTAGCAGTACTTTGCATGTTAAATTCACTCTAGTAGGATACTTCAGCTGGCAGCTGTTGCCTTCATGTGGGTAACCAAAATCTTTCATGGGAAGGCTACAGAAGGGGGTGTGTTGACAGCTTGCACCCTCAAAGTCCCCCCATCAGCTCTTTGACCTATGTTGGCTCTTTGGAAGCATCCACAGCATATTTTTTTCCCTCTCGGTATGTTCTAGCTAGAGCAAACAAAACCAGCATAGTCCTGGACTGAACATGGCCTTCAGTCTGACATAGCCTCCACTTTACCCAGGATACCTTGGAGTAATTGTCAGGGCTTTGCATTTCAGAGATTGCTGGCTGAGTTTCCAGATAAGGAGGTCCAGCTGCACCTTGTGGAAACTCATGGCCAGTTGGTCATGGAGAATTCTCCAGAGGAGAGTGCCCATGTCCAGGCAGAGCTGGATCAGCTGAAGGAGTCATGGAAATCACTGAAGGAGATGGCAATTGGGTAAGTGTTCATGTAGGTCTTCCTTATGTCCCTTCAACAGGGTTCTTTTTACTGCAGTAAGAACAGACACACTTGAGGTCTGTGCTCTGAAAGTGAGCAGCCATACCACAAATGCTAGAAGTAAGATGGGATTTTATTTAATTGTTTGTAAACTGAAAATCATGACTTTTAAGAAAACCTTGTTAAGATCCTGTGAACCACAATGTCTGTGAATCTTCCTTTACCTCATGTTGGAGTAGGCAGTGTCTTATCACCTGGCTCACTCTTGCACTGCCAGTCTGTGTCAGAGGAGATTTGTCATAGCCTGGGTGACCTGTGCTGCTCTGCCTCATCTTCCTGTTCTCCTTGGAGATGCCTCCAAGGAGTATCTGCAATGGGATTTGTGCCTTTTACAAACCTGCAGAAGTATAAGCAGAGCTAAAAATCTTCTCTTTAGCTGGGAAATGAAGATTTAATTTGTTTTGCCTCCACTGTGTAGTGTTGAAATGCTGCTCATATTTTGTATTCTGTATTCATATTTAATGATGTGCTGCATGTATGATTGTATTCATACACACTGTCAGAATAGACAGAAAAAATGAATTACAAAATTGAGGAAGATCTAATTGTACTGCCTTCTGTAACCAGAAAGAAAGGTACATTGCCAAGGTATTATTTTTAGGCCCCTAAATAAAAGAAAACAAAACACTTGGAAATGTTAGAACTAGAGTCCTGGTGCAGCTGTGAGACACTCTGGTTGGGAATAACTTCAACAGTAATAGTGTTATTAGTATTAACAATGATATAGTAATAACAACAATAGTGCTGTTTCCCCAGAGCTGTCTCCCATGGCCCCAGTCAAAATGTAGATGTCCACTGCACTGATATCTCTGGTTTTGTGTTTTCAAGCCTCCTCAAAAAGTGGCAGTTAACTAGACCAGGGGCTGACATGAAGAAAAGAGCATTTGTGGACAGCAGATGGATGTCTAGACCTGCTTTCCACCTTTTTGATGTCGATCCCAACCATAAGCAGGTGAGGTGGGGACTCTGTGGCTGCCTTCATATCAGCTTCACAAGAGCAGTTTGATTGCCTTCATCTGATATTGTGGGTTACAAAGTTGGAGGTAAAGATTTCACAGTCAGGCCTTCAGAGGAAAGGTCTGACATAACAGTAAGGCCTTTTTTGTTCCTGTTGTTCTGTATCCTAGGAGAAGATGGGAGAAGGGCAAAGTGCAAGCAGCCACTTGAAGCTCCTACATGACTTTGAAGAGTGGCTACAAGGAGAAAACACTGAACTGACCAAAATTCTTGCTAGGACTCCATCTTCCACAGAGGATATTAAGGCACACCAGAGCAAACTTGAGGTTAGTTTTCAGGGGGTGAATGGAGAAAAATACTGCAATAAGTGTGAATTCTTTCAGAATTAAAAAACCCAAACAACAGCAAAACCCAGAACCACTCCACCTACCAACCAAAAACCCACCATCCCCCAAAAAACCCCCCCAAAAAATCCTCAAGAACAAATAGACAAAAAATTCAAATACTATTCTCTCTGCTTTATGAGACTCTAGAGTAGATGAAGCTCAAGAATTTAGGATAAATTTCATCCTTTCTACTAGGAAGGGTCTGCCAGAACTAACAGAGAAGGGAACACCTGGCATTTAACTGTTGGGCTGGACATTCCCAGTATGGTATGGCAAATGTGTTCATTAAAAGAAGCTGATTAAAATCAGTGTCAAATCAGTGTTTGGTCTCACTCTTCCTGTTTAGTATAGTCAAATGCCATAGCAATTTGTTAGATTTGTTGGATTGTTAGAAACTAAACACAAGAGTATCCAAGGCTACAGGAGTCCTGCAGGTGAGTTTCATATTGTTTCAGGCCAAAAAAACAATAACAAAAATAAATGTGCTATTGCATAGCCACTATTTTTTCAAATGCTGATTTAAAAAGTGGGGCCTTCCTGAATTGCTGCTGACCCTTGTTTTTGCCTTTAGGAGCTGCAGTCTCGTGTGCCTCATGGTCAATGTCTCTTTGAGGACCTCCTTCATCTTCATCCGGTGGTTGGAAGTTCTGAAGACCTGGAGGACCTGCGTTACCGATGGATGCTCTACAAAGCCACGCTGAGAGAGTCCCTGAGCTCACCGGTAAGGGACAGCACACAGAGCACAGCTGCTGAGCTCTGCCATGGCTCTTTGTGCTTACTTCACACTGCTAGCCTCACTTCAGCAGTATTCATGTGTGTCTGCTTCATTAAGAGTTGTGTGCTTTTTCCCTTGGTATGCTATGCTCAAAATATTTCTCGAGATGGAAGTTTTAAACCAGAATAGTAAATGGCAAAGAGGCATGCAGCTGGGATCTGAGAGGTGTTTGTGTGTGTGAATACTTTGGTTCTGGGCACATGGATTCTATTTTTTGCCGTTTCTCCACACAGCATTCTCCATAGAGTTATTTTTTGGCAGTTCCTGCAGTAAGACTATATTCACTGTTCATTATTATGTCTCCTGCTGTGAGACAGAATAGTCATTCTCTGAACTGATTCAAAGTAACTGCTCAGAAGGACCTAGTCCCTTCTGAAACTGTCCTTATAGGTTAATTATTTGAATGAAATAAAGAAGAGGCATTTTAATGCAAAAACCAAATTATTAAAGAAGTTACAAAGTTGTTATATAAGGGTGCCATGCTAAGCATAGCAGAATTCATCATCATATATAAGATATTCCAGGGCATGCTAAAGATACTCCCATGTTCTTTGCATAAACATATATAATTATTAATTAATATTTTTCTAGCTTAACTACTCACATCATCTGAGCAGCTTCAAGATACCATAATCAAAATATTAGAATTTACATGTTTGCATCTGGTACTTTCTGTATGCAAGTGCATTCAAACTTGAACACCTAAAATTTGAGACATTTTAAAATTTTCTGCATTGAGAAACCTTTTATTGAAATACAAAGCTTTTTTAGAATATGAATCTTCTAAAATGCATGGAAAGTAAGCAGGAATTTTTTTTAATAAAGAGCATATTTCTGTGTTTGCCATTGATTGTAATGACTCGTGGTTTGTTAAGCAAAACCTTCTGTAGTATTGACATAGTCAATAGGTGTCAGTAAAGTCAAAGCTATTGCTGGGAGAACTGCTCATTTGATTCAAGTAGTCAAGAACCTAAAAACATGTCATCTTTCTGCCTAATCTTGTTAAAAAGCCTATTAAAAAAATCTCCTGGTGGCTTACTCTGTCTAGGTGACCATGAATATGAAAGAAACATCCCCTGTGTGGTGAATATTCATTTACAGGCTCTTCTGGGATCTTAACTTCATGCTTTTTTTTTTTTTTTTTTTTTTTTTTTTTTTTATACAGAGTGCTGGATCTTTGGAGGAACCAGACAGATTCAGAAAGGCAAGACAGTTTCTTATTATTAAGTTAAAAAATGTTTGATCAGACATTTTGCAGAAAATGGTTTTAAATTTTTCTCAAGATTCCTGAAATCAATTTGCTTATTAAGAGCCACTCTTAAAGAATTTGTTGATTTTCTCCAGTTTTCTAAATGGAAAAATATTCCAGAGTTTTTACTCTTGAACTAGGCTTACTGTATCTCTAGAAGCTAAATATCCATCTGCTGGGAGCAGAGGGAAACTCAGTTTTTATACATCTACATGCTATATGAATTGAATTCATTTTTCAAAAGAGACTAAGGAAGAGCCAGAATATCTCTCTAAAGGATTTAGTGGTTAAGTGCTTAAAATAATTTTTAAAATGGGACTTCTAATTCTTTAGACACTTCTGAAAAAAAAATGCTTTGGATCAATCAGCCCACCTTCTTTCTAATGCAGAAAGCCAGAAAAAGTCAAGAGATTTGTCTAATGCTATTAGACTAAATCCTTATTCTAAGCAGCAGAATTCCTCCTGTGATGGATTTTCTTTTTGAAGCGATGACATAAGAAACAGAAGCAGTACAAGAGATGATAAGGAGAAGCTGAAAGAAAACAAAATACTGCCAGTTTCTTATTAAACCAAGCAGCACTTTGGATCCCATTTTCATAAACTCAGCAAATTTTTCTGTCACAATTTGCTTTGTTTATAGATGCTGTTCTACTTTGTACTGTCATCTCACTTTCAATTTGTTTTTAGAATAAATAGAATAAGGCTTTATTTACCTAACACAAAGGAGGTTGGATGAATAATGTGTTGCAGGATCATAATCACATAGTCATTTTAAGGTAAATCAAACCCTTGATTTCTCCTGGTGCAACACCTATGTAGAAGAGACCAATATTTAAAGGGTGCTGTACAGTGCACTTCAAGCATGGCCAGAAATCAAGACTTTCCTCATTCTGTAGAGACATTCCTCTAATACTCAAATGTGGAGTAGCAGCTCAAATATTTTTACCCAAAAATAGCAAAGTATTGATCAGTTTTAAGGCAGTTTTCACACCTTTCTCAATAGTTTTGGCTGCAGTTCAGCCTTGCTGAAGACCCCCAAAGACTTTCTGTTCTTGCCTGTCTGGCTCAGCATTAATTGCTTCAGCCAGTAAGGTCACCAGAATTTTTCAGGCTGGAAAAACAGTATGACATTTTAATACTTGGTGTAGAGGCAGCCAAACATTTAGTACTGCTTCTTTTCCCTAGAAGAGGCTCACAGGGATATTCCAGAAGACTGACCAAGGAATTCTCTGATTTCATGTTGTTTGGTTGGGTCAATCTGTTTGTAGGAAAAAACAAAACAAAAGCTTTAGGCATAAGCATGTCTCCACTACAGTTAGATCCATTTTTAATTTATCTGCCTTGCCTGCCTTGGGGTACGTGGTATTTTTTCACCCTTAAATTCTCCAAATTAGACTAAAGTCTTCAGTTAATTTTCAAAGATACTGGTTTAACATAATGTCAGGCAGCAAACATTTCTCAATTAGGCCTACAGCAAGGGCACAAAGAAACTCCACTCTGAGAGTTTTTAATAGCTGCTGAACACAAAGAGAAGCAGCTCAGGGTGGAAAGGACTGAAGAACTAAAATACCTCATAAGCGTGAGGAAAATGGCTCCCATTGCACTAACAAGTGATTTGCAGTTTCCCTTCAGCTAGTGCAGATGTTGCTGTAACTTATACCCTGCTCACTTCAGTGGGATTTCGCTGACCTCAGGGCTTTTATTCTCTGTTTAAACAGTAACACCGCAGCAAGAATCCAAGTGCTGGAAGCAGAAGTATCTTTTTTTTTTTTTTTTCATTCAGGTTTTATCAGAATGTGAAACAGTGTTGCCATAAGATTTTTGAGCATCACTTAAGAGAGCCAGAAAATAATGTTGATCCCTTTTGGGTGTATCACTGTTTGGCCTAAGAAAAGATGAAAACCAGGCCAGCTGCAGAATTCTAGGCTATGCAGTTTATTTTAAATTCAGATTTAACACCTAAAATGTGGCTAGAAACGAAAGAAAGATTAAGCAAAATATTTTTGTGTGCATGAATATCTTTTCAAAGCTATGGTAAAGGAAGCCAACTACCTTGAAGAGAATGGCTGATCTCAGAAGTTGGTATCTGCAGGAAGTACAGATGGCTGCATCACTGTGCTTGCAACAACCAGTGAGTTTGCATAAAATAGGATCAGGTTACCTCTGATTTGTCAGCTCTCTCATGCTTTTAAGTCACACAGAATCAGCAGAAATGGCAGAAGTTGAGGTATTTTTGGATCGCTCTCTGCTCTTTGCAGCATGAGGTCCCCAGTGACTCTGCTTGTCTCTCCTGGTGGAGCTGTGAATGTTTTGCAGCAGCAGCAGCAGATCAGCGTGGAGAGAGGGAAGACCCAGCTTCAACCATTCTCATTCAATTGCCTTCTTATTTTATTCCATTTCTAGCCTACGTGGCCAAATGTTGGGCAGAATGAGCCTGTTCCATGTATAGTAATGTGCTTTTCTTCCTGATCATTCATCCATTGCTGAGGACATGCCCCTGCCACTGGTGCCCTTAGGAGCAGAACAGCCTACTGATTGTGATGTGACTGACTTCTTGTTGATTAACAAAAAACAGTTGCAGGAAATTGCACTGGCTGCAGTGAATTTTTAGCAGGTGCCAGTGACAGCCAATGTAGATGGCTATTTCTGCAGGGTACCTAGCACACTCAAGAACATAATCAAGCAAGTGCTCAGTAATAACTATGATAAATGTTACTTTCAAAGGTTGGCTCCCAGCTACCTGAAAATATTCCATGAGCATTCTTAGCGTAAATAGGAAGTCGAAGGCTCATTATTTACAGGTCTAGGTAGCGCTGTTTGATTTATTTTCTCAAGTTCTCAGAGTAATTACTTCCGTGCTAAACAAACAATCTGGATTTATTGTTTGTACAAACAAAATAATTAGAATTCATTACAGCATTGGTGAGCTAATTGCTTCCTTTGAGATTCTGCTAAGAGTAATCTCCTGTAACGTACAGACAGGAGGAACATGTAATTTAATCTTATTTAGAGACACCATTGATCTGGAGTCAATCAAATTAATGCAGTCATTCAGGAAACTGCAAAGCAAGAGCTGCCACAGATTGCCAGGAAGAAAACAGCACTGTGGTCTGCTCTGCCCAAGTGCAGATATGATGGGAGTTCCTCATGGCAGAAAAGCACAGCATTCTGTGTTAGTGCCTGTGGTAGTGGTGCCTCTACTAAATGTGTGTGGCCCATTTGTTTCCTCAGGTCCTGCTAGGTGTTACCCACTTGAAATCTTTGGTACAATTACTGTCTCAGTAAAATGAAAAAGACTTATTAAAAGGTATCTTTTCCTCAGGTTTTAATACCTCCTTTACAGATAAAGATAATATCTCTCCATTTTTTTTCCATCGCTCTGCCTATAAGCATGTGCTTACCTGTTTTGGGAATTATACCATGACCCAAACACAGGATGAAGGGCATCTTAGCATTAAAAATTAGCAGATAAATTTATTTTCTCCCTGATGTTGGCTCAGAAAGGAAACTTAGTCAATAAAAAAAACAAAAAACGCCATTCCAGAAAAACCTCCAGAAAAATCCTGGCTGCCCATTCAGTCTAAACTCAGTCCAAGGCAGCAACATCTCCTTTCTTTTCCAGCAGGCTCACAAACTTCCCTTCACATTCCTGCACCTGGGAATCTCCCTGCCTGTGTGCTCTTAGGTTTCATGTCATTTTCCAATTTACATTACAGTGTCCTCAAATATATATCTAGGGCTCTTTGTTTGTTGTTTATCTGGTCCTGCCACACCTGTGCCTTGCCAGTGCTCTCTGCCTGCAGCAGTGCTGGTGCAAGGACGGGCCATCCTGCTTCCCAGGACACCTGGTTCTCCCTTTCTTTCCATGCTCATGTGGTATTCGTTAAGCAGGAGGTTGGTGCTCCCTGCTTCATGTGAAGAGAGGTGTCCTTTAACTGCCTGCTGGGTTGTGAAGTATATGCAGATTTTCACCAAAGAGATAGCTTAGCTTAGAATGATTTTCTCAGCAGAAAAAAATGTATGTCTTAAATTAAAGGTAAAGAGACAGAGAAATTTGTTGAGCAATAGCAGAATGCAACCAATTTTCAGTATATACCTGAAAAATGTTGTAACACAACTGTAAAAGGCACTGTAAGAAAAGCACTTCTAATCATTGCCTCTAATTTTTATACCTATTATTTATTTAAAAGACATCACATTTTTGAAGTATTTCAATAAAATGCAAATATATTTAAATTATATCTAGTGACTGCCGAAGTTTAAGAAAAGTTTGATTGACTTGAGAGAAGTCACTGGCAAAGCAGCTGGAAATATACATTGTTGACACGATAAACAAGATTTTGATGTCAGTAATTTCGTCTGCAAGTTCCAGAACATTTTGTCTTTCTTTCAGTTTTTATTCTTTCTGTGCTTATTTTAATTAGTTTATTTCAACTTGCAAGGACGAATGGAAGTTGGAAATTGGGAGAAGTTGTTTTACTTGCCTGCCTTCCTGAATATAGAAGACTAAGGTCTTTTTCTGCTTGCTTAGGTCTGAAGAACTCTAGAAATCAGTGCTGCTTTAACAGTAGCACTGTTAGCTGTTAGTAGGCTGTAGCTCTTGTCCTGTGATATGCTCCTCCTGGAAGTATGTTGTGCTGTATATGCACACAGAAGTTAACCTTTATAAATCCATTTGTGCCACAGTAGCTTATGGCACAGTGCTTAGTTCTAAGTGACTTTGCAGCAGAAATTCTGACATACCCACCATATGTAGCTGCTGAAACCTCAAATACGAACTGCTGGCTTGTTTTCTATTTCTTTTAAATGAAGCCTCCAGGAAAGATTCTAGATTATCCCCCAGCCATGTTGAGGTACTCCAGAATCTGCCCTAAGGAAGAAAACAGTCATTATACTTACCTATTTACATGCATATGCTTATGCACTTCAGAATTGAACATTAGGGTTGCAAAGTC